AGTGACTGACACCGCTTTCTTATACATCTCCTATAATGATCACTGTTTCTATATACATAAATCTTGTTCGCTGCCAACTCTGAGCGTTCGAGAGGGGTTGCGTTTGACGCCTTCCCAGCCTGTTCTCCATCAGTTGTTGGAAGCTGGCAGGTGACCTGAATTAGTGTAGAAGCTGGCTAGCGCCGCGTCAACTCCTGAAATCTGAAACGCTCCAATGTCCGCAGCGAACAAGATCTATCTGCAGGGCAAGGATCGCAAAGTTCGTCGTAGGGTTGGATTTGGTCATTTACGGTACACTGAATTAAAGAATTGACACTAATTGGTAGAGAAGTGGAATGGTAAGTGGACTGATGGTAAAGGATGCCGAAAGAAACCACAGTAAACCCGCAACAAAACCCCGTTGAGTGGACGAGTTTTCCGGACTTGCTGGTTTCATTTTAGCGGAAAGCGCTGGTGGCTTCTGCAAACACCACACCCGGGTGTCAGTGCCTTCCAGCCGTGCTCTCGTGCAGTTTGGAGCGGAGAAAGTGATACGCTACTGCAGCTGTGGACGCATTCATCTTGCACATTGCACGGGTAAGTCTCCACGGACTTGATTGGAGAGTTCGTCTTCAAGGGTCTGCGGGGTCAGTAGATCTGAGCTGCAGTGACAGCGAGCTTCTCCATGTCCCTCTGACTCACTGACAGACTTCCTCACCCAGTTTCCTAACTTCAAGGTTGAGTGGTTACTGAAATACTGCGAGAAAGTGCCAACATGAAATAACCAAAGGTTTCTGTTTGCGTTTCGGCGTTTTTTGAGCGGCCAGCTATGAGTGGTTGAATGGCTAGCGCCACCTGAGCCCCTGGAATCGGTATTGCATTTAATAGGCAGTTTTCTCCCGAATCGGCTCATTCTGCGACAATTCAAAAAAGTAGCTAGAGGGAAGATAGAGAACGAGATTGAGAAGCTGCATGAGACGACTCCCTGAGAAGTCAGCCTCGCCTGAGGAGTCCAATTTTGGACCTTGGAAAAGGCTTGGTATCTGTGCGGAAATTCGTTACCATGGTTCCTTTCCCACTGATGATCCCCTTCTTCTAACAGGAGGTACAACAGTGCGTTTCTCCTCCCGTTAGAGTGAGCTTTCAAGAGTTGCACGCTGTCGCCCTTTTAGGTTTATCTGACTTCAGATCTGAACAGCGACTTTACGAAAGGGGTGGGCGGGGGTGTTGGGATTTGTTCTAATCCCAAAACGAATCGCTTCTGGGTAACCGACCCGCTGGGATGAAAAATTTCTGCGACTTTATGGAGCCTGCAAGTGCTGAACAACAGCATCGGGGGGAATTTGGCCATTTCCAGGGTGAACCTAAGCCAGAACGAATTCAAAAGCAAAGACATGAAAAGAAGTCTGCAAAGCGAATCGGAAAAATCAGTAACTATCCTAGGCGTATGTACCTCCATTTCCATGGGAATTTCCCCAACTCCTAGCATTTTTCCCAGTTTGGAAAAATCAAGTTTAAGCTCGAAAAACTGAAAACTGCCGTCGAGTGGAGAGATTGTCACCAATCAGCTCCTTAAGTTCAAAAACAGTAGTTTCATAGTGGGTTTGCGGAGCCGCTAAACGAGTACTTTAAAAATGTCGGCACTCAGAAATTCTCGCGCTCGAAAGAACTCCTATCAAGGCCGGATACAACCACTTCGCACGAACGATCCTCTGAAGTGGTTTCCCCAGTATACCGGTAGGCGCCCCCATTTTGGCGAGCTCTTCTGCAGTACTTAGTTGTTGCCTTTCCCGTTGCGATCTATTAGGCCTCTTACCTCACCTGCATTTACCGCTTGAGCAACTAAGTTACTAGTACTCACTTTCATCGAAATCCAGCACAGTAAAAACAGACGCACAGGCATCCAGAACTTAATGACGTGTTTTCTCAGACTCGGAACAATCGTGTACCCACGACGTCGTCGGTGGACTACGTGGACACTCGTTCTCAACACACCCATACCTGTAATGGTAACGTGCAATAATTGTTCCGCTAGCGCCTTCTCTGCAGCACTGCTCGATGCCACGTCTGTCGTTCCATTCACTCAGAGTCCAACTCGCACCTTTTGATGGCGTGCCGTTCGTGCAATCTGTACCAGTCACAACCGGCAAGGTATGGCCTCGGAATGGTCTGCTCCTCTCCATCGTATCGGCAACAATATGAAACGCTGCTCCTCTTAACTAACCCTAAATTAAACTAATTCGCTATCTCAAGTCTCGCTTTCACCTCTCTCCCTCGTGGCGCGGCGGGGGTTGTCAGCGGGGGGCGTATGGTGGATGAGGGTGGTTAGAATAGGAGTATGAACTTCGGACGTTCTATGCGTTGTGCGTGGCGCACTCCGGAATCGAATAACGTGGCGAGCGTAGCCGACCTCTCTGAAAAGAACCTTAAGGAACCGTTGAGAATATTGCAACACTCAAGACGAATTTACTTACTGCTGATTTTGAGTGTTGTATTAGGGTACGGCGAAGAAACAGTGGGAGCCCAGGCGAGAAAGCATACACGATGGGACAATAAAGCAGAGAGAAAAGGGAGTCGATAGACACCAACACAATCATCGTTGAGTTGTGAAATGGGCATAGAATCAGCGACTGCGGACCGGTCACCTCCCTTTTCTCGTTTCTCCTTTCCCAGATGGATCTGCTCTACTGAAGCTTCGGGATTAGAGTACGTACGTGGCCCTGCAGTTGCTACAGAAGGGCTCTTTTTGCACCTCGAGACTCAAGGACAGCAACCGTTCCTTGGTGAGGCTGTATACCCGTGCCGATTCAGGCTGCCCGAATTGTGGTGATGAAGCCTTTGACCTCTCTCTCACCCGTCGTTTTCAGTCTCTACCCGGCTCTTTTCAGTGCATCGCCCCCTCTTGTGAATGGAGTGTCTTATTCACGTTCAGCGACCATGAGCTGCGAGAGATAAGGCTTCACTAAGGCCAGCCTAGGGGCAGTTGCGACGGGGGAATTTGCACTTTTGCTACTCGTCATCGACGTGTGGCCCATCTAGACAGCTTCTTTTTTTCCGAGTGGACAGGTTTTATTATGATAGCTTGACAAGCTTGCTCCAGTTCACAAGAGTTCACAGGTTCCTCCGAAGCGGGCATTGAAAATCGAAAGTAATGAGGCAACGAAAGTGCAGAACGCCCATCCCCCTCCCTTACCCCGTCGCTGAATTGCGCTGCCAGCTACTGCATGATTGACTTTCGATTGATCTCGACTTTGAAGACATACTTCAGTACGCTTTCCTTACCATCCGAGATCGCATTAAAATCGCCTTCTTCATAGCATTTTTCCGGATGTCAATTCCGCCGTGCACTAGTATGTAGTAAGGAGAGCGCCCTCTCCTTCATGAACCCCTTCCCTAGACAGCCACTCGTTTTTCTTTACTTTTCGAGGATTTAGCGGCCAGTGTGCTCTAGCTGTCAGCGTGACAGGGTTTCCCAACAAGCCCATGCACAAAAGGTCACATAGTCACGTAACCCCTCCACAAAAAATGCAAATGGAAGTGAAGCTAAGTGATGATTGAGGAGTAGTGTGAGAACTCAAGAAGCCCAATCCAAAAGTTGTACAACAATGAGGAGTGTGGTACCACAAGGCAAAATAAGCCTTTCTCGCTGCGCTGGATTTGGTAGGGCGCCAAACTAGTCACCACAATATGGAGGCGAGCAATTGATAACAATTGGTGGCAAACGGGATGGCGTCTGGTCCCACACGGGAGTCGGACAAGAGGATCGAAAATTGCCACCTCGTCGTGCGCATCGATGTGCGCGACGTTTCCTCATTTTCCACTGACCCTTCGACTGGAATCCGGATTTCATGCAGACAAGAACATGATAGACACCTATTTACATTGTCTATTCTCGACCAATACCACCTGAAGTCGTCGCCATTAGCAGGCGTATATGCGACGCCCACTGACGCGGCGAATCACGATTCTCTTGCCACAGCCCCTCCTCCCCTCCACTTTTTTTTGACACACCCCATCATCCGCAGCGCCCCCGCATCAGCAGCGATCAAGACTTACTTTCGCGATCCCTGATCACAAGGGGGCCCTGGGACAGAACAACTGAGTCACTAGAAATCTTGCAGTTTCTGTTGGGCTATCGAGATAAATAGGTGTTCAAGAAAAGATTATACTCAATTTGTTCGCTGAATGAAATAAAAAATAACTAGCACAAAATGAAAATCATCAACTTGAACCAGCAACTTACTGGAACTCCGCAGGAGGTTTGCTGCTGAGCGCTATTTTATACTTGGTATTGGTGGCAAACTTCAGCGTTTTTGATCCGCCTTCAAATCGTTCGCCATCGACTTTGAACGTGACCGGCTCACCCGTTGATGTTCGACTGAATGCATACAAAAGCCTCTTACTACTGTTTTTTATTTTTTGAAAATACAGCAATAGCAATCTTAACTCTTTACATTCAGCGACTGCAAATCGTAGGAAATTGAATCCAAATAAAAATTCAGCAGCAGTTCGGCTTGGTGGGGGCACCGGGTAGTAATCAGCTAAGCTTACTACACAGGCCATTTTGTGAAGACTCGTGAATAATGTGACTGTAGTGGTTCAATCGCACCATTTCACAGCTTCACAAGAGTTCATAGTTATCGAACTTGCACTACGCTCCCTCCAAGGCCGAGCAGCGCCATTATTCGTAGATGCCACTTGCTTTCGCATGACAAGAAAACACCAGACAAAGAAGTCCGCTCTAAACAAGGCCCCGACTTTGAATATCAGATGTGCATCCGATGGAACGAGACACTGCGATAACGGCCGAGTGTACGGAATAACGACGGGCAGATATGGATGCCGAAATCTCCAGACGAGACCATAAGCCCAACAAACGGCCGGTGGGGTTACTATGGGGAACAGCTCCCAAGACACTCACTTACAAGTGGCGATGTGGTAAAAACGCGATTGGGACCGGCCCACCTCTTACAAAAAAGGATTGCCACTTACCAGGTTATCGCGAAATGCTTCCTTGAAGAAAATCCGAGATGGGATGAGATTTCGAAAGCATTCCCCCCTCCCGCTGGATGTCAGTTTTTTGGGGAACTGCAGGAATCGTAAGCTAAAACTTTAAAAAAAGTCGTAAGAAGTGGGGAAAATCCGGGAGGGTGATACGTAGGAGGTGAAATGAATAAGGAAGGGAGTTTGCCTTTTTCTGGAATTGCGGAAGACTGTATTTTACAAAAGTTGTCCCCCTAGGGCAGTGCCTTTAGGCAATGTTGGTGTTGGTGAAGGATTTGCCAGTATACGCATATTTCCTACGAATCTTGATCACACAAATTCTTGAGGTGTCTCTAGAAAATTAGGTTTCAGACAAGCTAGCTCAAGGGAATAGAGTAAACAACAAGACGGGAAGAATCTTCCTGTACTAAGCATTTTCTTTTCGCAGAATGTCATTTTGGCCCTTGCTTTACTTCATAGAAAACCCTTGAGGTCCACATGATAGAAGACCTAGTTACTTCTAGATTCTCGTGCTGAAAAAGCCTCCTCGATTTTCTCAAGTTGCCTAGGCCTAGAAAACATGCACTTCAGCAAAGCCCTGGCCCACTTCAAGTATCCACTACATACTCTTCTCTTTGTCTGAGCCATGTGTTTTACGTTTGGCTACCGGAGAAGAGGAACCTTTGGACTTACTCAGAGCCGCCCCTCCCGAAGCAACCTGCCCTACGATCAACTCGACTTCCATGTATCCGCCGAAAGTGGTCCGGTTGTCGATGTGCTTATTCACAAAAAATTCTACATGGTAGAAACTCTAATGACTCCCTCTGCTCAGAAGATCGAGATCCTCTGAGCTTTCTTAACGCTTAGGCATTCAGGGCTTTCCTTATGCAGCGATGAGATTCCCGTGATAGAGATAAGCACTTTCACTGAAGCGTAATAGAGGAGCAGGGAGCAGGTTCTGGTTGATGGACCAATTTAAAGGAAGGCTCTCCTATCTGAGTGACGTTACTCCCTAGTAGTCCTTTGAATGCTCTCCATTTCTCTCTCTCTCTCTCTCTCTCCCCGCACCACCACGATGTTAGGCTGCGTTTATACTTTGCGGCAGCGTAGCGTAGCGCTTCCAGCGTACGCCAGCGGCAGTGCCGGGGAGAGGATGCATATCGATCTAGCGTTCCCAGCGTCACCAGCGTTCTCCAGCGTTTCACCAGCGTTTTGCTAGCGTTTGCAGCGGCAGGGAGTAGAGACTATGGGAGAGCTGGAGGGTACAAAACACATCGATTGCGCGTCTCTCACTCGCCCTTAGTCTCTACAATGCACATCGCTTCTGCGACGGCCACATAGTCTCTACAATGCACATCGCTTCTGCGTCTCCGACGGCCACATAGTCTCTACAATACACATCGATTCCGCGTCTGCCGGCCACATAGTCTCTACAATACACGTCGATTCGCGTCTCTCACGGCCACATAGTCTCTACTCCCTGCCGCTGCAAGCGCTAGCAAAACGCTGGTGCCGCTGGAGAAACGCTGGTGAACGCTAGATCGATATCTATCCTTTCCCCGGCACTGCCGCTGGCGTACGCTGGAAGCGCTACGCTACGCTGCCGCAAAGTATAAACGCAGCCTTACCAACACGTCTGCATTGATCAAGGGTCGAATCAAGTTGCCGTGCCCCAACGTCTGAACCAAGTTCATCAAGGAAACTTATTTGATAAGGAGAAGGAGGCCGCGAAAAGCATACTCCACCAAGCCCACAGGGTCCAGTTAGGAAGCATGCAAACGGGTTGCTTTAGAAGGGACCAAAAAGAGGGGAGCACAGAACGGCAGATGGTCACTTTTCATTGAGCTTTCATGTGTGGGTCATAGATTAGAGACCCGCGACAGCAGCTGTCATTTCTCAAAAGAATGCGGAAGAACGGAAAAAGCTTCTTGATTCGTGAATAAATTTGCATTCCGATGTGTTCCTAGGAATAAAAAAGTGTGATAACAAGGAAGGCCCCAAGCCAAACATGAAAAACGATATGCACGAATTGCATTGAAAACCAATAAGGAAGTCTCTGAGACGGCAAAGAACGCGCAACTCGTCACTCACTCTTCGAGAGCCCTTTCGAGAAAAAGGTGATAGTCCGAAGTGAGGTCGATCTATTCTAGGGCGCTGCGCTTCTCAAATTACGCAGTTAAGCGAGAAGGTTCGGACTTCCCGCGGTCAGCGAAGATCGGAACGTCGCATGGAGAGACATCAGAGATCTGAGGGGGATGTCATCATAGGACATGACGCCAACTATTCGACCGCGAGCATCCCTCAGAATATTCGGCGTCCTTGTCTTGAGGGTCTTTAGTCAAGAGTGAGAAAGCAAAGCGAGTCTCAAGCGAATAGAGCCGCCTCCTCACTTTTTCTGGTAAAAGAATGAGTGTATGCGTCACTGGCGCTTTCCTAAATCACTTGCATTGCGCGGTGACTACCCAGGAGGAGTAGCCTTAAAAGTTCTATAGCCTCCGCGAATACCTTCAAAAAAAAGCAGTCTCGAGGGGTCACGTCTTAATGGTTAGATCCTACTATTCAATATTGAGAAACAAGTTCGTAGCACTGGAAAAGAAGAAGGTATCGAAGAAAAACAGGGTAGAGAGGACTCAAAAGACTCAGAAGTAACCAATTCGCGATTTAGCGGGCATGGCGTGCAGATCTTAATGGCGATTCGAGATGTGTTCCGTCTAGTGAACAAATGACGCTTTCCATGGAATCCAGCTGTTTTCAATTATTCGTGGTGGGAACGAGGATGCACCTTTGAGCAGTTTCACCCTACGAATTTGTAGAAGCTCTCAAAACTTTGAAAAAAGTGAGAGATGCTTGGCGCTGAGGAAAGGGTACAGCGTCAGTGAGTGGGATCCATCAGTGGGGTCGTTTTGGTGTCTGGGAGGGGAGGGGCGCCCGTGATCCCGAACCCTGCTTTACTTTACAAAATCTAGCTCCGATAGTTGGTGTTTCTAGATTCTCGAGTATAACCTTCTTATATTGTGAAGGCGCGCCAAACCTATTATTTCTGGCAGTTGGTCACAGGTGTCTGCCCTCCCCTTTTTGGGGAGGGGCAGTTTTTCAAGAAGTTCTGGCAGGAACTGAAAAGGTAGGCAGACTGAAAAGACTGGAAAGGTAGTAAGATGAGGAGTGGAACCGAAGAAGGAGACTCAAGAGGACAGCACAAACTGATCCCGCTATTTCAACTAACCGATGCTGCATCTGCCTCGAGGAATTCCTCAGAAGAGTACCATTTATTGAAAGTCCGGTCGATGGTTCAGCTCAAGTGTCTTGCCTCTACTACAATCCCGTTCGTCTTCAAAGTCCAACTCCTCCATTTCATCACTCTCTTTTCCTCTTTTCCCTTCCACGCGCTTTGCATTTTCCAATAAAATTAGCTACTGGTGTGAACTAGTTCCTCTCATCAACTCCCGAAGCACAAACGTAGTGTGGCACAAGTAGTTGCACCTTCCCTAAGGCTCCAATGAGGCCATCCCTCAAGGAGCTCTATTCCATCGAGCTCTGTCGTGACCATAAAGGAAACCAAATGCCTCTTGGCTTCAGCAAAGGGATTAAGTCATCAGGTCAACGTTTTGTTCTCCCAAGAAGTTTCCTTCTAATCTTTCATCTCCCAGAGGACGGGAAGCTCATTCGGCTTAGGAGGAATTCGATCCTGCAGATTATCAAGGCAGTGAGTAGTGCAGTGCCTTCGTTCTTTCTCGAAGGAAGTATATGATAGTTAGATGTTTACCCGCTAACTTTGATTTTGATTTCTTGGACCAACGGTTACCATTTTTAGCGCTATAGAGCTTCGAGAGGGCATTTAAAGGCCACCGGCGCAAAACTGGGATTTCCTATTGGGGATGAGGACTTTCCCAAGATCAAAGTAAAGCAGGTGTGGGTTGGTGAATCAGTTTAAAGGATGGTTCTTCCATTTAGACGGCCTTATTTCTACATTTGCAATACGATTCCTTTGAATACCCTGAATGATTCCCCACACCCCCCCCCGCCCCCTCCCCAGGTTGCTTACACCTACTAAGTCTAATAAGGAAGCCTTCATGGGAAAGAGAGTAGCAGAAAAGCGTACCTCACAACGCCCACAGACGGGTCTGTAGGAATCAAACGGACTGATTCAGAGGAGAGTGAAAAGAAGGGGACAAGGGACGACAGATGGCCGTTTCTTTTTCCCACTCGCTTCGTGTGTGGGTCTTAGATGAGAGAATCACGACGGCAGCTGTCATTTCTCATGGAAGTGCTGCAGAACGGGAAAAAGGCTCTGAATTCCTGAATGAATTTGCTCTATAACTGGCAACTTTATCCTACACTGGACATTTGACAAATCGATTCTCTTAGAGAAAGGCTCGACTGAGGTCGAAAAAAAGT